CAAACGCGTTGCCGGCCGTTTAGGAAGGAGTACGCTCTTTTCTTGAAGGTCGTATCGGTCCGGAAATACCGCAGACTATAACCCGTTCCACAGATTGGTTGTGCGGGGCAAAAAGTGTCTCGAAAAGCGTTCAGTAGTGGAGCGCCAACTATCCAGGTAATGAGGATGAAAATTTTGCCGTGTGGAACGATGGCGGAAATTTGCGGCTGGTATTACTCCGAACAATTCCTCGAAGCACTCTCCATGATATATGCGATAGAGAATGCAGAGTAAAGCCACATCTCTGCGTAACGCCAAGGGATCGAGCCGATCGGAGATGTTTGGGCTATCGACGATTCGGGTCACTCTTCGTTGGATGCGGTCCAGAGGGAGAAGCTGGTACTGAGGTGCTCCTGCATAGAGATGAGAACAGTAATCCATATGCGGCCGGACTTTCGCCTTATAGAACTGAAGGCGGTGTGAAATACTGCCTCGATCTGTTCAGCACACCGAGCTTCTTTGAGGCCAATTTCACCTCATTTTTGTTACTATAAAATAACTTAAAACAGTTATATTATTATTTATTTATATATTTATTATGATTATTATTCATAAACAACCTTATATTGCTGTAGAAAGTGTTAGCTGACTCTCTAAAAGGGTGGAGATTATTTGTTTGGCCTGTATTGCTGAAACAAATCACTAATAATAATTCCAATAAATGTACTTCAATACATATTTACAAAAGGCGGAAGCATTTATCAACGACAATTACTTTTTCTCATTGCACATTTTTTTTGTCATAAAATAACGTAACTATATTATATTTATTTAGGGTACTAAAAATCGTTTAAAAAGAGTCAAAAATATTCTAATTTATTTCTACTTAGGTTAATTTAGTCATTGTACCGTATGAGTGAACTCGTGGGCAGAAGCAAATTCATAATCATGAAAGGTGAACCTTCGGTAGATATTTCAGCCAAAGCTATAACAATCGATACCGATAAAACGTTCCATAATATAATAATACCATCACGCACCCCTAGTCGAATTGATGGCGAATCTGACATTACGTACCTACTTAGGTCAAATAAAATCTTAAAAAAATATCTTATCTCTTATAAGACTTATACAACTCATGGTAAAATGATAAATCATAGAAAAAATATTTATCAAGTTTATTGTGAGTCAATTTTTTAAACGCTTTACTTTTAGGTAAATATATTTCTGCCATTGTTTCTTTTGTTCTATTTATCTAAAAGCTAAAGAGCGTTTTAACAATGCACATCTAATATTTTTTTAGTCTGGATCATCGTTCGAAATAACACTATTCACCCACATGAATTCAATAAAAATAGCTTACTGCACTAGCTTGGTGGGCACGATTTTTTTGAGATTTCCAATAAACTTAAATACTTTGCTTCATTTGATAGCTCTGTGTTACATATGTCCCCAGTGCAGTTCATTCTGACTTAAAATAGACACAGTTACTTGTTCTGTCTTGTCAACAATACATCCAAAGATCACAGGCTTACTAGTTTTTACGATGGCCATCTGTATTTTTCGTGCCATGGACTTCTGGAGTGTCCATGTTTATCATTGATATTATGAAGACATTATTGGCTTTGCAAAATGGTTTACTATCAGTTTGGAACCCCGTGTTTTTTTTTTTGTAAATACATAGTTACATATTTTTCCAACTATAGACTTGCGGAGGAACGGGTGTTATGGACCATGTCCAACACTAAAGGAGGATACTCCAACCAAGCGATGTCACTTCACTTCTGAGTCGCGGCCCCACGGGTTGATGTTTAACTTAAAGAAGAAGGTACTAGAAGTATACGCCAGTCGGCTCAAGAAAGTTACTGCGCACTTACTTACTTACTGCGCGATTTTTTGATTAATAGTTAGGTAGTCCGTAGTACAGTGTGTCTTTGTAGGATGGTATTAAAGTCCACTTTTCATTGTATGTGTGAGTCACCACAGACTGTTTACATAGAATAAAGCTAGAACAAAAGTTAGACATTGTCCTTATACAAGAGTAATATCTGAGCGCTCGCTTGTGTAATAATGTAGTAAAGCTAGACAGCCGGTCGCAGGCTTTGACATAAGTTGCAAGCTCTAATTTTACGATAACATCTTTGCGTAATTATATGACTTCACACTGCGCCGTTGCTGAAATCACATCCTCTACCTGTAGAGTTTACGTAGTGAGCTGCTATTTTCAGTTTTCACATTCTATTGATTCTCACTTACATAATTTACGTTACGTCTTGCAGTCCCTTGTAGGACATAAAATTATCATTGGCGCTGATGTCAATGATGTGGCAAGATGCGTTCAACCGATACGGTTCGTCGTCATTGAAGATTTCATTGCGGAAATGAATCTTACTATGCAAAATACCATACAACCAAAGAGCCTAAGTATACAGCCCCCTTATTCTTTATACTTGAAACAAACCCTATAGTAGTATATTAGTAGAGTAGTGTAGGTATAGTAGGCCAAAACCTCCTTTCTAAGGAGAGGCCTATGTCCAGCAGTGGACTGTTATAGGTTGTTGATGTGATGTGATACAGCCCGCGCGCCAGCTCCGAGAAATCATATTATTTATGGAATTTGCTGAAATGAACTAGCTCTCTAACTCACTCGATGCCGTTGTCCAGCCTCCGTGCGAAATAAGAACTCAGCAACGAAACTACTCAAATACACACATTAAAAAAGTCTAGCAACACGCATCATTTACAGAAACTGCATATTTTTTTATTTTATGCTTTTCTTAGCAAAATAGATTGCTTTACAATATTTTTTGTTCTCGGAAACATATACTGACTGATTTTAAAAATATAAACTTTTCAATTGTGTTGTTTTCATTAAAATAAAAGCAACTAATTTTTTTTCTTGTATTTTAGTCGCTTGATAAATTTGGTATTTATCTCACTTTTATCATTTTGAGATATATAGTTTAAAAAAAAAATGCGTTGTTAGTCATTTTTTACGCCATTTGACTGCTGATGAAATGCAGAGAGCTGTAAGAATGCTACTTAGGGCATTCTGAAAGTTTCTGGATTCTGACAAATAAGACTAGTATAATAATATATATAATTTAATAATAAGACTGACGATACATTTGTTGTTTTTTAAAGTATATTCCCTGGCAATTCCTGCTTTTTGGCATTCGTTGAAACCACTGTACAAGGCAGTTGGACCAGTCTTTAATTACTGTAAAAGTTAAGTCATGCGGTATCCATCGAGTGCAAAGCTTCCTAACCTTCAGATGCACATGTAAAATGTTTTGGTTGGCTCATTCCAATGCCTATCGAAGCACGAATTTGCAAGGCAAGTAACTTTTTTAAACCGTACCGTAACAGTTGCAATAAGTTTTTTAAATTCATTTTGATAGCGACACACAATTTTCGAAATGACGTCAGAATGAAATTTTCATTCTTTAATTGTAAGTGGCCACATCCAGAGACTTTCAGTATGCCCCAAGTACAAACGGAAAGAAATCAGTCCCAGGTATCTCGGCATTTTGGTGTACAATTCTCAATCGGTGTTTTTGTTAGCCACCAAACCGTGAGAAATTAGCTGCATGTATAGGGCCTGCGAGCACGATGCCCAATTAGGTATTTTATATGCCATGGGAATCACGCCGGTTGTAACGAATGGTGTAGAGAACATTTGACATGGACCCAGGAGCAATGGGATAAAATTTTATTTTGAGGTTAGAGTGTACTCGTATTGTCCTTCCGGAAATTCTGAACGGCTGAGATGCGTCCAGGAACTGCCACCTTACAGTAGCTCCGCAGTGATGGTATGGATATGTAGAACAGACGAACTGAGCTCGTTTTTGTAGATCAGGGCTGTCCAAACTACATACCTTCGCGGGCTAATTAAATTTACTACATAAGCTGGAGGGCCGCAGAAAAAAATATTTTCAGCTATCTAGTAAAAAAAATACGAGATAACAATTTATTTATAAGTTTATTGGTTCTTCGTTAATTTATCTTTAACTATCATATCAATATCAATGTCAACATTCATAGTTGCCAGACGCATTGCATGAAGAAGTGACTTATCTGACAGTGGAGATCTATACTTAGATTTTATAAAGTTCTTTCTTGAATACGCACTTTCACATAAATAAGTGCTGTCCATCATCAATCCCATTTCAAGCCAAAATTTGTTAATTTGGGGAAACAATCGCCAAGGATCCTAAAAAAACCATTGCAGTTTCTGTTCTACCCTTGTAAAAGGGATCTAACTGTACGTCACATAATTCCAGCTGGTATTCAGTCTTTACGCTTCCGATTTGAATTGATAATGGATGCGTAAAAAAGACAAATCGCTCTCTAATTCCTTGACATCTGTGAACGCTGCTCAAATTCAAAAATTACCTCATCGATGTACTTCATTAGAAAATTTCCTCCTTCCTTCAAAATTTCCCATTTCGGTATAATATTCTTTGCAACTCGGAAAAAAGTAAAAATATTTTTTTCCAGTGACGAATTGAACAATCTCAGTTTATTTTTGAACCCATTCACATATCCATACAAGTTGACTATATTGTGTTGTTTGCCTTGTAATTTCAAATTTAATTCCTTTAAATATTGTATCATATCAGTTAAAAATGTAAGATCAGCAAGAAATTCAGGATCTTGCATTTTAGTTTCCATATCAGTTGTATCAGATTTTATTTTATTTTTAAGAAATATGGAAGTTTCATTCCGCAAAGCGAAAAAGCGCTGCAAGCACTGAACAACACTTAACCATCGTATTTCTGAGTGCAATAGCAGATCCTCATAGGTTGCGTCAATTTCAGTAAAAAAGTTACGAAATCTACGATGACTCGAGGCTTTGTTTCCGGCTCTAATAAAAATTTGTTATTTTAACAACTATATTCATGGCATTCATTTGGCGCAAAGATTTTCCGCATAAGGTTTCTTGGTGAGTACTCGACAACTGATATAAAATAAAGAAACCAGACGCAAAACATCTCAAAATATTTAATTTATTATTCAAAATGTGGAGCTTAAAGTTTATGTGTATCACTGTCCTCGTTTTTAATTTATTAGTAAGTATTTTTGTACATTCCTAAAACCAGCTGGTGTTTTAAAAAAATTACTACCTCCGTGGTGCAGTGGCAGAGGATACTGCTGTTCTGAGGTCTCGAGTTCGATTCCCAAGGCAGACCAAATGTTTGTATGATTTGCAAATATTTGTTTCGGAGTTTGGTTGTGTTCTATTTGTGTGGTTAGTGACCCTGACTGCTAAGCCGGAGGTCGTGGGTTCGATTCCCTCCCAGAACAAATAATTGACTGCACGGATCGCGTAGTGGTTTAAGCGGTCGCCACGCCGCTTACTACTATGCTGAGTGTTGTAGGTCACAAATTTTTGTTCTAAGTCTGGGAGTTCTTTGTGTCCGTTTCATCTGTTTGTAAAGTCCCCCGCGACACAGGATATTTTCCTAATGCGGGAGCTGTCTTTTTAATAAAAAATAATAATAATAACTGTGTGATGAGCACCGTGATTTGTTCTGTGTTTGGGAATTGGGTGTAATTTGTCTATAATATGTACGTATTTAGAAATATGTAAGTATGTTTATCAGCAGTCTGGTTACCATAGCACAGGGTCTGCCTTGTTTGGAATCAGACAGCCTTATCAGAGATGTGGAAAGTTGTTATTATTATTTACAAAAAAAGTGGAAAAGTATTCTTCATCATCATCATCAAATACCAGTTAATCCAGCTTTCATAGTTGAAGTTCTGCTAAGTATGCGTGAATATTATTATTTTTTAATTCGTAATATGACATACTTTTTATTTGTTAAATATATTATTTAATAATAAATTAATAAAATTTAAGTTTGCACACACGCTTCCAGTGATAAACTAAACCTCTCTGGGGTAAAGAAAACAGTACTCTTCCAAGGGCTGGAAAAATTAGTTTTACACGAGTAAAAAAGCCGGAATAAGCTACAATTTCATAAAATAATTTCATAGATTTTACACACTTTCAATAACAACATACATAATCGTATATAGTAAAATTGTTTTGTTCTTACATAGGTCGTTACAAACGCAAGTGTAATGCCTCCACAAGCTCTAGCGACCGTCAAACCAGAATCTGCTACTGAACTTGCAAACAGAGCCGCCGTCGAGCCTCCTAATAATTGTCCAGAAGGCCAAGTATTACAACCTGATGGCGTGTGCAATGTGAAAGATTGGGTCATTAAAAATTAGTTTTATTTCCTCTAAGACATAATTTTAAAAATAGAAATTAAAGAACATGGAGATCTTAACAAACTTTTTTTAAATCTAACATTTTAATCCTTACTCTTTGTTACTCCCACATTCCACCAGATCCCGGAATCTTGAAGAGGCGATGTTAATTTTTGTCAAAATGTTTCTAAGTCTATATTGAGGAATAAAGACTTAGAAGCATTCACCGTGCCACGTTTCATTACACGGCACTCTCCCATACCTTGCTGCTTCGGTGTCCATTTGTGCCGTATCCCACAAAACCTGCCACCATTGCGAGGGCCGAAGCTTGTACATGTACAATACTCTGCTGCTACTGCCCAAGGTTTGCCGGGGTACAGCAGCAGCAGCCGCTGGCACCCAAGACGGGCGGACTGGTGTGGTTTAAGTCGACTCGAGTGTGGTGAGGATCCAGGAAGATTTCCACAAGTGGAAAACAAGTGCTCTGTTTCGTACGCATACTTCAACTCCATTATTTTCTTTTGGACGTTAGTATCAGTTCAAGATAATGAAGATATTATACAAAATTATATTTAAAAGTTATTACTACTGTTGCACCATTGCCACTGATTCAGATCAAGAACAGCAGGGAATGTAGTGTGCATCTGGATCGAGGGCCCGTTTTTTAAATATATTTATTTATTTAGTTATTTACTTCTTTTTTTTATTATTCCGTGCGGAAATCCCCTCGGATACCACCCACCAGTAAGATGGCTATATCGGACTCAAACCGACCAAAAACCGCACGCCGTCTCGGATACTAGTAGCTGAAGACCCAAGTGTACCCTAGAAAGGTAAGCAGCCCCCAGCCTCCACCACGGCGAGCCTTAGCTCGTCCACCGTGACTGAGTCGTCCAGGCCTGTGATGCGTACTTCTGCGCATTTATTAGCCCTGGACACTCAGACGTCAGTTGCATCCAGTGACTCCTTCAGCTTAGCTGCTAGAGCTTCGTCTTTGGGGCCACTGGTAGCACCGGGGACCTCGAGAAGCCGGGCTCCCGTCCGTGTGCTTTTACACCTGACGCCCGGTAACCCGAGGGCCTTGAGTTCGACGTTGGCCTTGACTAAAAAGTACACCGCGGTCTCCGCCGTCCGTATTGTTTAAGATACCCTGGTATCTTAAACAATTTAACACAAAAACGATTGCATTCCCATGGAATATTGGCGTCAAACTGGCGACTTACCATAAAAGAAGGTGGTTTCTTTTATGGTTAGTCGCCAGCTCTTTGAAACGTGCACACATTGTGACGACCTCAATTAAAATTGACAGAAAAGAAAAAAGATGATGTAATGATGTAAATTAAGAATATCCATTGAACTGTTATTGATCTAATTGAAGTGTTTTAGTACCTAAAGATTTCTTTCCAAATTTCTAGTACGAAATTGACCTAGCCACCTCATCTCGCGGTTGTAAAACTTTATATTGAGTATGACCTATATGACCACTAGCGGATAACCCTTGTTCACATCATTGATAAGCCAACGCGCTCTGCTGTACTCAAGTAGAGCAGAACGTGTTAGCTTATCAATGCCTTCATATGCCTTCATTCGTCTTCATACTTTCAGTTGCTGTTTGTTCGGATAGCAATGACCTTGAATCTATTATTAATACTCGTATAGTATCGTATCCTAAGATCACGTGATCGGGAAAAACCATGCACATCACGCCCACATCGGACTAGTTGTTAAAATAGGTCGTAGCCAATTTTTTTTTAAATGAGAAAATAAAAAATATTTTATAACAAAAAATTATTGCAATAAATCCTTTTTTTTTTTACGTGTGGAAATCCCCTCGGACCGTCACCCCACCGGGGTTTTCGGCGGGGTGGTGTGTCGGACTCGGACCGACTAAAACCACACGGTGTGCCACTCTGCGCCTGTAATAGGAGGGATCCGGGAATAGCTGTTATTAAGACATCCGGACCCCTCCTAGCGCCGGCCCGCTCCTGTTACGGGCTCGTCTCAAAATTTTCCTCTCTTTAGGCGACGTCCGGCACACGCGGACGTCGCCCCCTCGCGGCTGGCCAAACTAATGCGGGTGGAGGGGAAACCCACGCCGTCCACCCGCGGCCACACTCAGGGCGGCATGAGGCGCAGGTGAGTGGACCGGGTCCGAGTGGAGGTCGTTCTCCCGGGCCTTCTCCGCCGCCTCCTTCTGCGAGATTACTTCCTCGCAGAAGGTTTCGACCGCGGCAAAACTACTGTCGCTACCGGCCATGGAACGTACTACGGCCGGTAGCGAGAGATCCACTCCGATGACTGCAGTGAGGGCCCGGCGCTGCGTCGCCCATGCGGGGCAGACCGCCAGCGTGTGCTGGGCCAAGTGGCAGTCGCAGTGGTGGCAGGCGGGACTCAGTTCCCTCCTAGCGACCGAGTGCAGGAACTTTCCGAAGCAACCGTGCCCGGAAAGCACCTGCGTCAGCCGGAAGGTAAGGGTCCCGTGCTGCCGCCCTGCCCACTCGGCGATGACCGGCTGGAGAGCCTCCACGGCGGCGAAGCCAGCGCGTGGAGTCCCAGCCGGAACGACCAACGAGCCATCGTGGCTCGGCGAGCGGCTTCGCGCCACTCGCGCACGTCTTTGGGCGGAGGGCGAAATCCGCTCTCCGCCCGGGAGTCAGCCACTCGCCGATAAACTTCGGCGAGCACTTCCGCCTCCAAATCCCACGGGAGAGTTCCGGCCAACGCGCAAGCCACCTCCGTCGAAACGGTGCGGTAACCGCGTATGGCTCTGACCGCCATTACCCTCTGAGGGCGCCAGAGGCGTGCCCTATTCTGGGCGGTTAGAGCCGCCGCCCACACCGGTGCACCGTATAGTGTAATTGACCGGACAACCCCCGTGTACAGCCGTCTTGTCGCGACGCTGGGTCCACCCAAATTGGGCAAAAGTCGCCCTAGGGCAGACGCAGCGCCGACCAGCTTTGGAGCAAGCTGTCGGAAGTGCTCGTCGAAGAGCCACCTCCCGTCGAGGATCAGGCCCAGATATTTCATCTGGGCCCGAACCGGTACGAGGACCGAGTTGACCACGATTGAGGCGCCAAGGGGTGGACCACGACGGGGCCCATGAAATAAGAGAGCCTCCGTCTTATCTAGGGCCACCCGTAAGCCCAGCGCCTCAATGCGCCCGACCACCAGGGAGACTCTCCTTGTGGCCAGGCGCGCCGCCTCTTGGAGGTTCGCCCCCCGAGCTGTCACCAGAGTATCATCTGCGTAACAAATTACACCCAGCCCGGGGGGGAAATCGGCTCGAAGGGCCTAGTCGTACCCTATGTTCCACAAGAGGGGTCCAAGAACAGACCCCTGTGGAACACCGCACGACATGGGCCGATACTTCGAATTACCATCTCGGTCCTCGTACACGACGGTACGCTCCTCTAAATAGTCTGCCACTAGCCGCCTCAGGTACTTTGGTACCCCATGATAGTGGAGTGCTTCCCTGATGCAGCTGAATGGCAGACTATTGAATGCGTTGGCGATGTCCACTGACACCGCCAACAGCACTAAAGCCTAACCTAACCTTAGTTTAGATTACTCGAACAGTGCTAGTACTAAAGTGAGCTCTAAAATTTTTACAATTCTAATATTTGAATATTAGAATTGTAAAAATTTTAGCTGCGGCGGCGACATGAGGCGTCGACCCAGCATCTAATGATGTTTGTGAATGTAGGTCATATTCCTAGTCAGCGAAAAGGAAGTAGTCAAGGGACGTAACACGCACGTGCATTTAATCAAATCCATACTTATATTGTAAATGTGCGAAAGTTAGTTTGTTTCTTTGTTTGTTTGTTACGCTTTCACGCCAAAACCACTAAACCGATTTTTAAAAATCTTTTACCCATGGAACTCTACATCAACAGATAACCGATATGCACGCAGACGAAACCACGGAGAAAAGCTAGTTTAAAATAAAGTGGAGTCAGGCAATTGGTGATGCAATAATAAAATGGAGGCATATCGTACTGATTACACACATGCTGCAAGTACATAGGATTAACTATTTTTATGCCGATATATTATTAAATAAATAGGCACACCAGTTTGACTACCATTTATTTGTGAGAAACCAGACGCAAAACATCTCAAAATATTTAATTTATTATTTAATATGTGGAGCTTAAAGTTTATGTTCCTCACTGCCCTAGTTTTTAATTTATTAGTAAGTATTTTTGTACATTCCTAAAACTAGCTGGTGTTTTAAAAATTTCACTACCTCGGTGGTGCAGTGACAGAAGATGCGACTGATGTGCTGGGATCTCGGGTTCGATTCCCAAGGCGAACCAAATGTTTGTATGATTTACAAATATGTGTTTCAGAGTCTTGACTGCACGGATGGCGTAGTGGTTTAAGCGGTCGCCACGCCGCTTAATACTACGCTGAGTGTTGTGGGTCACAACAGCACAGCACAGGATCTAGCTTGTTTGGAATCAGACGGCCTTATCTGAGATGTGTGAAGTTATTATTATTGGCAAAAAAAAAGTAGAAAAGTATTCTTCATCATTATCATCAAATATCACTCAATCCATCTTTCATAGTTCAAGTTCTGCTAAGTATGTGTGTCAGCTGTCTAAAATTTTATTAATATTAATTAATAATTTCGTTTTTTTATTCGTAATACGACATAAGTACTTTTGCTTTGTTAAATATATTATTTAATAATAAATTAATTAAAACTTAAGTTTGCACACACGCTCTCAGTGATAAACCAAACCTCTCTGGGGTAAAGAAAACAGTACTCCTCCAAGGCTCGAAAAATGACTTTTACACTAGTAAAACAGCATGAATAAGCTACGATTTCATAAAATAATTTCATAGATTTTACACACTTTCTATAACAACATACATAATCGTATAAAGTAAAATTGTTTTGTTCTTACGTAGGTCTTTACAAACGCAAGTGTAATGCCCCGACAAGCGACCGTCAAACCAGAATCTACTACTGAACTTGCAAACAGAGACGCCGTCGAGCCTCCTAATAATTGTCCAGAAGGCCAAGTATTACAACCTGATGGCGTGTGCAATGTGAAAGATTGGGTCATAAAAAATTAGTTTCATTTCTTCTAATACATACTTTTAAAAAGAGAAATGAAAATTTAAATTAAACAACATACAAATCTTAACAAACTTTTTTTTTAATCTAACACTTCAACCCTTACCCTGATACTCCCACAACTCACTGGATTCCGGAAGCTTGAGTAGGTGAGGTTTTTTTTTGTCAAAATGTTTCTAAGTCTATATTGAGAAATAAAGACTTAGAAACTTTCCCCGTGTCCGTTTCATGACTTGTAACACTCTCAAGCCTTGCTGTTTTGATAATTCCGTGTTCATTTGTGCCGTATCCCCCAAAACCTAATGCCTACCATTATTGCGAGGGCCAAGGGTATTCAACGCTCCATAGAATAGCGTTGGAGAACCCTGTGGAATTCCGCAATGTCGTTTAACAAGCGAAAGTGTGGTTCGTTTAAGAGGACGTTCTCCCGACCTACCAAGCTAGGCAGCGAACCAAGTTCCCCGGCTATTAGTACCCGGCGAAGGCGTGCGGTTTTAGTCGGTTCGAGTCCGACATGCCACCGACAGGTGGTATCCGAGGGGATTTCCGCACGGAAAAAAAAAAAAAAAAAAAAAAAAGGAGCGAACCAAGCGTCTAGCAGGTCTCAGGCTATCTATAAAATCGTAGATATCCCGAGATTTGCTGAAGTATAGCGGCTGCTGGTACTCAAGACGGAGTGTGGTTTTAGTCAGCTCGAGGGTGGTATGGGATTCGGAAGGATTTAAACAAATGAAGAAAAGTGCCCTGTTTCGTACGCATACTTCAACTCCATTATTTTCTTTTGGACGTCAGTATTAATTAATCAAGAAATGCTAAAAAAAAACATGAATTTATGATTTTTAACCATCCACCATCAGTGATTTTGAAATGGCTTTAAACATCATCTTTCGACAGGTTAATCAGCAAATTAATTTGAAAGGTATTTGATCATAACAGCATGCAAAATTGTAGCACTAGATTTGCAAAATTTTGTTCAGTAGTTTTGAAGTTTTGAGTTTATTGTACGTAAATAAATTTCTTTAAATGGATTTCATAAAAAGAGCTTACTGCACTAGCTAGATACGTAAACTCTCAGTTATTTTTATTTTCAATTCATCTAAACTTAAAAACTTTTCTTTATTCAATAGTTCTAAGTCTACATGGTGTCTCCAGCACTGGGAGCCTAGTGCGAGTTTATTCACATATAAACTCGCTCTCGACGGCGAGCGCGTTTGGCGTTGTGTTTGATGAAAATTTCAGTGCGGGCCGAGCGCGCCGAACGCGAATGATGGCCCTCAGACTGCTTTTTTCAATTTCCGATATGTCTGTGCGCATAATAAATAAAATAGCAATGGTTTTCCTAACACAAAATAACAAGGAATTTTCTATGAAAATTACAGGAAAGTGAAAATAATCAAAGCAACGTTTTAATAATGATATTTTACAACACGTTCGCAATGAACAGTATTCGTACATCAGTTTCCCGAAAAAATTAAGATGGCTTTTTTTTGGCTTTTTCAGTTTAATTACCTATTTTTAAACATTTCAGAAGTATAAAGGGTTGCCTTAATGCAATTTGACCTACATATATTTTTACAAATAAATAAGGACATTACTAACAATAATTTATTATTAATATAAAAAAAAATGTTATAATGCAATTAAAATATTTACAATATTTACAATTATGACGACCGGATAGCATAGTGGTTTGTGTAACGGACTGCTATTCCAAAGGTCGCAGGTTCGAAACCCGCTCAAGTCAAACATTTGTGTGCATGAACATTTAATATTTGATTTGGTCTGGGTGTTTCTATGTATAATATGTATGTATTTACAAAAAAAAAGTATATATACACGGTGATTTTGAAAGCGTTTTGGAAAAGAAAATTTTGAGTTATTTATCAGTAACAGAAGCTATATATAACGTTAATTTAATAAAATACATATATTTTTTATCATCAAAGTCGATATTCATATCGATTACAGAGAAAAGGTGAGAACCAGTAGTAGGGCTTTTCAATCGCAAGTAGGTAAATACTACGAATAAAAATACTATACTCACGCGCAAGGTCAAGGACGTTTAAATTATTATTCGCCGGAGTGTAGTGCGTGCATACCTGGACAATGAGTTTAGTGATCGGTGGATAGGTCGAGGAGGGCCAGTGCCTTGGCCACCTAGAAGCCCGGACTTAACGCCCCTGGATTTTTTCTTATGGTCGGAAATAAAAATACTTGTTTATACACGGGAATATGAAAGCCGTGATAATTTACGCATTGCGATAGTGGACGCTTTCGATAAAGTGAAAAGTGATAGAGACACATTAAGAAAATTAAAAAACAATTGCATTAAACGTGGACGTTTGTGTATTGAATGCAGCGGACTCCATTTTGAGCAGTTGCTTCGATACAGAGAAGTGTAAATAGTGTAAATAGGTATGTAAGTTAATTATTCTGTAGATAGCTCCGATTTTTTAAATACGCTTGAAATATTTATACCTACAGTCCGTTGATAAATTGATTTGTTGTGAAAAGAACAATCGTGGTTAATAATCGAAAAGAAGTTTATATAAAATAGGTATTTCCGACGATCCTAAGCCCGTGTAAAGTATGAAGGACAAATTGGAGTCTATCTACGTAAGTACTCGCTAGCTCGCGCCAATAGGTATACTTTTATCAGCTGCTGTTAGCGTCAGCGGTGCTCAGCGGCAGCCGAAACGCCCACGGACGTGTTTCATTCATATAAGATAATGAATGAATGATCAGTCCATTACTACTTTCCAAGTCGATCGAGTAAAAATGAATATTAAAACTAAAACTTTTTTTTAAACAACATTACAATTGATTTAATCATTTTTATTGGTACTATAGATGATTCCAAATTAAAATGTTTCGTTTCCAAAACGGCTAAAAAGTCACCGTGTATATATATATGTACTTATATAAGTTGTCAAGTAGCCATAGTACAAGCTCTGCTTAGTTTGAGACTAGATAGCGTTGTGTGAATGTAGTAAAATATTTTATTATATTATTGTAATTAAAATATTTACATACGAGTGCAAGCATCAAAAATATTCCTCCTCATCATCGCCTACTGATAGTGTTCCCAGCATTGTCCTGTTGAATGGCAATGCTAATTCTCTGTGCTAGAAAAAGGCCGGCCTTCTGATCACGAGAAGTGGTGATCACTTGCTTGGCTAGTTATTTATACTTGTACATATCACGAGCACTCGGAACCCACGACCAGGCTCGACTTCAAATCGAAAAAAAACAAAAAATCTTTAAAAATGTATCGTTCTCAATACCAATACAATTAATCTTTCTTATACCTGTAGTAAATACATACAATATGTGAATACATACTGTGAAAATTTAAGAGACAGTATTACTGCCTCTAATATTTTGACTTCAAATATGCCTATAAAAACGTTATCGATTTTTTGTAACATATTCCTATCACTTTGTATTCTTACTATTCTTAGATGTGGCAGTTTTCTTTTTGAGTTGGCAGCACTGAACTTGTCATTATTTTATTTACAAAATACTTAATCCGTACATATTGATTTTTACAAACACTTTTACGTTTAAATTGACCCTTTTAAGTGCCACATGCCTATTATGAAACGAGTTTACGTTTATGTGAACAAAGATAACAAACATGGTAAAATTGTGGCAGTGGAAGACACGTTTGAAGACTTTAAAAGAAAGCTATCACGACTTTTCCGACTGACTCTTGAAAATTTTAAATTATATTCAAATGATTGTGAAATTGAAGATGTGGAAGTAATTAGAGATGATGATAAAATATATTTATGTCTTGACTCAGACGAAGAGAAGGATTGTGATATAGTTATTAGTTCCATGCAAGATATGACGGTAAGTGATAGAACTGCTGCTCATGTAGAGAGGGCTGTTTCCGACTGGATTACTTTAAATGTTGGTGGTAAACACTTTACAACATCACGAGCTACACTTCTAGGCAAAGAACCATTGTCTATGCTTGCCAGAATGTTTGCAGATGACAAAAATGTGTACTTAATGAATCCAAGCGCTGTAGATTCCACTGGAGCATACTTGATTGACAGGAGCCCAGAGTATTTTGAGCCTATTTTGAACTACTTGAGGCATGGCAATGTGATATTAGATAAGCATATGAACCCTAGAGGTGTTTTGGAAGAAGCAGTTTTCTATGGTAAGAACCAGGAATATTATTACATCTACACTAAAATACTTTCATCATAACAAACAATAATAAACTTTAATGCCTTAGTTATAGAGTATAAATATAGATACTACACAACACCAAGAAAAAGAAGTCTGTAAAAACTCACTCAGTGGAAACGGAAATATGTTTCTATTTAATTAATTAAAACTTCAAAAAATATTAAACTATTACCTCTTTAAATTACTATTATATGCAACTTGCTGTTCCCTGCCATTTGCTGTGACGTATCATCATGATCATAGAATAATGCTGATTTTGAAAAAAAATATGAAGTTCAGTTATTCCACATTTGGATACTACATTATCTAAATATTATTACTACATTCATGAAAAATCATATGTATTTTAGATTTTAAATTATTCAGTTTGGTTTGATGGGTTATTTTCATTGGATTTAAAAAAAAAACTATTTTTTACTCGTATGCCAATTTTCTTAATTACAGATTTAGAATTAAAAAAGTTATGTCAAAAAATTAACATAACTATTTAAAATATCTGACCTGTAAAGTTCAATAAATGTCAGATCGGACACTATTCTACGACTATGACGATATTGTGGTTGCATTGGTGAAAAATGAGAAACAAAACAAACTCAACAATAGATAGAAACACTCTTTGAAGTGGCTTGTTTATCATGTCAAAACTTGAGCTAAAACTTTTTGAGTTTTCCAAGCATACACAAATGAATGCAGACCATGCAACCTTAGATTAAGTGGGGGCAAAGGCCCTCATAGAAAACTGGTATTAGGCAATTTGTTCATTAGTAACGTAACGCTGTGTAAAGCTGTGAGTAACGTAATGTGAGTTTACTACTGTTGTTATCATTTTAAAAATAATAATTATGTTTGTTCATAATGTGGGTGTTGTCTTATTAATAAAAAAAAAAGAAAAATGTAGCACTTAAATCCCATTCAACACATAGAATAAATTATTGACATTGACCTTTCACATATTAGAAGCATTTATTTGTTATTGTCTTTATATAAGTAAATACATGCACATTATAGATAAATCCCAGATACAAAATAAATCATACTCACCACACAATTATTTGTCCTGATTAAGAATCAAACCTCAACTTCGGTCTTAGCCGTCAGGATAGACAGATAGATAGAAAACTCTTTATTTATACACTGTTTTACAAAATACCAATATAATAACATTTGATGGACTCAAATGCTGTTCAAATGCAACTATAAAATTTCTTCCATACCTTCTTACCTTTTTATTGAAGATTGGTAGGGAAATACTCACCAATGAGGAACTTACCGAGTGCCACAGATACCTCAAAGCCATAATTTACTGCCTCAATCATGTAAAATAATTCAGTACCTGTCCTTACTATGCATGTGCTATCTTCAAGACAAAGGATTACGGCTAGCTAATGATAATTTATCCTAACAATATTTTATCATATTCCAGGCATAGACTCCATGATTCCTCAACTAAATAAGTTAATAGAGGAATCACACAACAGTAGCGGCTCGAATCAAGCCTTGACCCGAATGGATGTTGTACGGTCCATAGTAATGACGTCCACATCCTTGGAGCTGAGATTTCAAGGAGTTAATTTAAGTGGAGCTGACCTAAATAGGCTGGACCTGAGGTATATTAATTTTAAGGTAAATATTTCCCTATAATGTGTACATTTTCAATGAATTTCATAAATTCTTTTTTGTAGAACTTACATAAACAAACTCATTAATTTTATTATTTTGCTTTAACTATCTTTTATTTTATAGTATAGTTATTTCGTATTGGTAAATAATTACACTTCTGTAAGTTTGCACTAAAGTAAACATTTTTCTATGTTTGAAATCCAAAACGATTGCCCACAACCTTTATTTGCAATGGTAGGCAAATAAAGGTTGTAGGCAATCGTCAATCAACGTCAGTCAACCTTAAAGCAATTGGTTTAAGGTTTGTTTTATAAAATCACACACATTTTTTTTAAAGCAACAACCATATAAAACCTTACTATAGTAGAATTATTTTCTCCGTGCAGTTTGGGTCATAAACCATAGCTCGGCCCCGGCCCGGCTAGGGCGGTGAGCATGTTGCGCGGGCGCAACGCCATTATCGATAAGAACAAATGAGTCATCAAAGGCAGGTACACGGCGGCAGGGCGGTATACAAAGGTGGTGAGACATTGTTATGTTATGAGGCATTTGTTGTTCCCCACTGCAAATTATAGTACATATGTCGAAGAGAAATGTGTTTTTGTGCATTCGCTCTCTGAATTTCTTTAGTGACACAATGGCTACTACTTTGTTTTGTACCAAAACGGCAGAATTTATTAAAAATAATATTTTGCCTGTTGGCACCAATATACCAGCACAGGCACGTGTTGTTATCAACAATGTTTTAAAATTTTTCACTGAAATGAAAATAGATCCCCAAAAGTCACAAAGTGTTAATTTCTGCCGTTCTCGTGAACTTGCTGCGGCGATATGTGGTGTGAGTGTTAGAACGGTCGACAAAATTAAAAAAGAGTGTACAAAGGGTGTGTGTGTAAAAAGTTTATTTTTATATTATTATTATTCTTATTTTAATAAATACGTTGTTTTATCTATTTTTTCTTGAATTTTTGTCACTAACCCACAAAATTACAAAACTAAATACACTATCGATAACGCTTATCGACAACAATAATGCGCATCACTATGCCCGCCCATAAGGCTCGTGAGTGGAAGAGAGAACGAAATACTCGCTTCACCGCTCCGACTATTTATGACCCAAACTGCACGGAGAAAATAATTCTACTATAGCTTCGGTAGAAATCTATATCATCTAATAATAATCATAATAATAATTTAAAGTTCTCATCGATTAGTTAACCAGAAGCATTTGGTTAGAATGTGTAGGTAATAATTCTCAAGAAAAAAATGTGTCAGGAAAGAAGTTACTTCTCAGACGCACATATAAATAATAGTGAGGGAGAAAAAGAGAAGAGTGAACATTTTTAAGAAAAACACAATTTTGAATAAAATATTATCATAATTATTTCAGTACGCTTGTCTGTCACGGTGCAACTTGAGCGGTGCCAATTTGTCACACTGTTGTCTTGAACGAGCTGACTTATCCCACGCCAACTTGGAGGGTGCACAATTATTGGGTGTAAAAGCTTTATGTGCCAATATGGAAGGTATGTATACCATTTCTGCTCGGAAGAAAGACTTACGAGTATTTACACATAAAAGTGAAAACAATAAAGAATTATTAACACATGAAGTGAAGTAAAACTGAGATCCCGTATTTTTCATAATAAGAAATCAATGCAAACCGAATTATTGAAATTGCTTTGAATTATTGATTTATTGAAGTGTAAATTGGTTTCGATATAAAATCGAAGGCATATACTACATACCTATGCCCTCGATTATTATAATCAATAATTCAAAGCAATCTCAATAATTTATTTCCATGTTTTAGCTCTGCATCGCCCTAAGGTCGTGGTAGACAATGCCTACGGCATGAAATCCACCTTCGTCACGATTATAAGTGCATAAAGAATAAATAAAAGAAAAACAATTTGTTTCACATTGACTTCCATCACTATTCTGTTAATTCTTTGCAACTTTGTGTCTTGAAAGTCTTCTTCCAATCACTTCAGGTGCCAATTTAAAAAGCTGCAATATGGAGGATCCGGTTGGATCACGAGCTGTCATGGAAGGAGTGAACTTGAAAGGTAATGACTATTGCTATTTTATTCGAAATCTATGGTCTATTCGCGCCGCAACCAGCGGGGCTTGAAGCGCGAATAGGTATAGGAATAGGAATTCCAATTAGGTTCCAAAAAATTATCGTTTCGTACAAAAGCTTGTAACGTGATTGGCCAGGATGGGTCAGGGCTTGACCGATGCGATTAAACTATATTTCTTCTAAAGTTATGTAGGTACATACACGAAAAATAAACGCGATCACGTGCGCAGTCCATGGTCATAGTTGGACTGTGTCCATGCTGTACTTGTATTAAACATTTCATCCAGGAATTACACATATTCCAGAGAGATAGAAAAAATACTTTTAATCAAGCTATACACAATTATTGTAGTACCTACTACATAGTACACAAACACATAGTAGATACATGAATAAAATATTTTATATTATTAGCTGTACCCGGCACATTGTGGTTGCATTGATTAGAACAAAACTGACACTAAAAATAGATAAAAACAATCTTTTTTGAGGTTTTAAAGCATACACAAACCAGTTTTGTATATATAGATGTGTATTATTACCATTTCATTAACTATTGTATCATATGGCCATAGTCTTCCATCTAGTTAAGTATGGTAAAAGTGATAAACCAACAATTATGAAAGCATATAAAAAAAATGTAGTAAGCATAAGCCAAGATAAAGATATTAAAGATGGAATTAAGTGCGCCAAGCTAAAATATTCAAAGATTTCATATCTTAATAGCGATATGACAAGTTTTTATTTATTATCAGAAATAAAATAAATAAAGGGTAATAAACTCCAAGGACAGCAACGCACCTGTGACTTTTGAGTTGCAGGTGTCGACGGGCAGCGGTAGTTGCTTACCATCAGGTGACTCGTCTGCTCATTTGCCCCCTTATACCATAAAAAAAAATTGATCAATACATATTATGTTACAATGTAGGACATTTTGATTTAAAATAGATCTTGGATAATAATTAGACTAAGTTACACTAGTGTAAAACTACAGTAATGGTATTTTAATTTTTATTATTTAAATATACTACAATAACTTTAATTGCTACCTGTCTGAACTAAGGTAAACCTATGTTTCAGGTGATCGCTAGACAGAATTTTTAAACTAGGTAATTGTTATTTATGTTAAAAATAACAGATTAATAGAAAAGATAAAAATACTACAAAGTACACACAGACAAAAGCAAATAAAAAAAAACAAACTAAAGATGATTTATAGAAAAAATACTCAAATAGTTTTTGATATACCTACCTTATTGTTTAAGGTATATTTTGAAATGCCCCCCATTACATTTTTTCTGCTTGACACATCTAACACACGGCCGTCTGATCTCAAACTAGGCAGAGCACTATTGTAACCAGACTGCTGATGAAGACCATCATCACCTACAGCCTATAACAGTCCACTGCTGGACTAGGCCTCTCCTTAGAAAGGAGGTTTTGGCCTACTATACCACGCTGGCCAGGTTTTCCTTCTCTTTGAAGTGCTGTTGTCCTGCGTAGTTTGCTCCCTTAGCCCTCTCTTACGACACCCACGGGATGAATGGGACACTTCGTATTCTTAATTCGTCACCACACTGACGCTGATAAAAATACTTACATATAATTATAGATAAATTACACAGAGACACAGAACAAACGATCCTGCTCATTATCATCTGGCTTAGCAGTCAGGGTCACTAACCAACAGGCCAGTCCAGGTATATTGAGAGATGGTGCTTCTTTACATCTATCCTCCTATCCTATCATTACTTTTATATTAAAAACTTATTTGTGCAGGTGCGAATCTAGAGGGTAGCAACATGTCGGGCGTTAATTTACGCGTGGCAACACTTAAGAATGCAAACTTACAGAACTGTGATCTCAGAGCGGCTGTGTTAGCAGGAGCTGATTTAGAGGTATGCAGTAAAGGTTATATTATACTAGAAATATAAGTTATTGTTATTATTTTATTTATAAAAGACAACTCCACTCCAGCATTAAGAATATATCCATATCCATATGTGTCGCGGAGGACTTTACAAACACACATGAAACGGACACAAAGAACACTCAGTCTCAGTACAACAATTTGTGGATCACACAAAGTGTCGTCCATTGTGGGGATCAGACCCACAACACTCAGCGTAGTAGTAAGCGGCGTGGGGACCGCTTAAACCACTACGCCATCCGTGCAGTCAACTTCAGTCACTCTTACTAGAAATATGAGTGCCTTATATATGGGCTTGAATGTACTTATGTACATGTTAATGTAGTAAACAAATACACTATTCAAGAAAGTTAAGGTGCTTAAAAGAAAACTCAGTTTTTTTTTCTACAGTCTATTACTCAACAGCAAGTGGCCGTACAATAAAGAAACAGATATAGATAGTACCGATTTTTGATTCAACCTTAAAAAAAAACAAGTCCATCTTCTAGAATAGTTTCTCAGAAAATCATCGGATTTTTTTTTCAAAATTCAATCATCTTAAAAAACTGTCCACGGGATAATTTTTTTTTGTAATTTAAACATATATTGCTCGGTTAGGAAATTAAATTTCATTGAACTTCACTTGTTTAGCAGGTATATTACGGTATATTAATACGTAAAGAAAATTATTTGTACTTTTTAAACAAATAAAGTAAACAGTATTTGCTATAAAGTTAAAATATATGTAAAATAGGTGCCATATTGATCTGTAATGAGTCATGGCATGAAAATCTATACAATAGTCAAGGCACTTAAAACTGTCGGAATACGACCGCCACGCCATCTTTAGTTGTATAAAAATAAGATTGGTTTAAGAAAGAAATTGGTTTTGATTTTTCCGGTCTCGCAAAACAAACCGATCAATTTCTGCCTTTGAATAGCGTAAATTAAAATTCACTTAAAACGACATCGTTCTTTTTTTAAATTTCAGTGTTGTGACTTGTCTGGCAGTGATCTTCATGAAGCGAATTTACGAGGTGCCAATTTGAAAGACGCGGCTTTCGAACTTATGCTGACACCGCTACACATGTCCCAGACAATCAGATAATTTATTTATTCAAAGCTTTTAATAAATGTTTACGTTGTTTTAGAAAGTTTTATTTTAAATTTAATTACGAACAACAGCATGAGTAAATGTGCTAGTAGATCAACAAGCGGTATGTGTATATTAACACCTGTTACCTGATTAATCAGAAATAAATTAGCTTCAAACCTGATGATTACTTATTTATTTTCGTATGTACAAATTGAGACTGTTAACTATAGTTATTTTTAAACCTTGAGCGCTCTTCACACTCTTGAAAACGCAAGAGTGTAAATAGCGGTCCTGAATGGAGGATTCTCTCGTCTTATTCACCTCTAAGAGATGTGCACGTATGAACCTAAAATAGGTTAATAGGTTATAATTGTAATCCAGTTCATCTTGCAGTAAAACAAGCGAGGTAGTGAATAACTAAAATTGAGATACTCTAGATAGGTATAGCACTTGGCCCTTACGAAGTGCACTCGCAAATGTGTTAGGCTGGAGTATTTATAAATTATTACCTAGAACATTCAAGAGCAAAGTGTAGAAAAAATTGACACTGCCACTATGCTCCTCATGCCAAGTAGTAGCAGGCCGTTCATTTTAGACTTCGGCAATTCAAATCGAAAATAACCTATCACAGCGTTTGGTTCTTATCTCTAGTGTTCCGACCGTGAATGTATGGAACCTCTGTCTGCGTCTAGTAGTCCTATGAGGATTCAATTTGTTCGAAGGAAGCTTTCGCCGAACCTAATCTTGTTCATCGATAAATAGGCAAAGTGATTCTTATTACATTGGTAATAAGAAACACTTGAGTAATTACCAATGTAATAAGAATCACTTGAGTAACACCTATTGAAGCGAGGAAATCGTTTGTACAATTACGGGCACTTCAAAAATTCAAGTTAAGGTTAAACCAAAAGTGATTGCAGTACCGGATAAGTTTGAACTTGGAGGGTGCCGAGGTTAAATAGATGTTCAGAATAAAAAAACTCCAGAATTATTTAATTTTATGTGTTTTGGACTTGGTTTGGCGACGGAAGTAAAGTTGCACGAAATGGAGATATCCAGAAACCTTAAATGGTCAGTAATAAGTAACAATACATTTTGAAAAATCGGTGTAATTTCGAAAGCACCCTATAATAATAAATAATTTGAATTAATCCATTCAACCGTGACTCACGAAGACTGAATATCTCGTGCATTGAATATAATATCTCTACAACAGCTCTGTCATCGGCGTAGCCAATTGTGTCAGGTGTTGAAGTCATTACTTGAAACAGGAACAAGGTTGCAAACACAGATCCCCCCTAGGCCCCCTAGACTTTAATAACATTTAGATCCAAAAACCATCGCCTCTCGCTCCACGAGTGGGTGGCGTAATCAATGTTCACAGAAAATACAAGGAATAATATCTATAAAAAAAGGTCAATAATCTTCTTCTACCTTGACATCGTTTTTATTTTCATGCTTAAGAATATAAAATTTATGTTCAATTTATACCTAGCTAGTTTATTTTTATACCAGAAAACAGGTTATTTGATTTTTGTAAAGTTGGTAAGCATGGATATGGATATAGAGATGTCTTGAATAGGTTTTAGTGTAAATAATTGAAAACTAGGAGCCAAATTCTGAAATTATAATTGGCGCATACCTAACTTTAACAAGTACGACACGACATGTTTTACTAAGCTTTTCTATGATTAAAATGTCCCGGATCCAATTTTTTTAACTCGGTGCAGTCACCGCACTAGCTAATAACGACTGAGACAGGTAGTTTAATATAATACGCATTATTGCCGTCCCGCCAACGGCCATGCGTCGCACTGTTCTTGCACGGTCTTTCGTCGATTCTTTTGTATAAAAAATCTTAACCACCCGTGACACAAAACGATCATGATACAAAAGCATAAGATGGCACTAAGTAAGTAGTAAAATGTTTCACGGTTACATTCTAAACTATTCCTATTTCGTTTTTGAAATCAAAGTACTATTAACTCTAAAATTTATTTCTTTTTTTTGTATTAAAAAAGACAACACCGCATTAACAATATGTCCGTGTCGCGGAGGCCTTCCAGACATACATGAAATGGACACAAAGAACAGCTAGACTGAGAATAACAATTTGTGGATCACACAAAGTGTTATCCCATGTGGGGATCGAACCCATAACACTACGCTGAAGTAGAAAGAGCTGACCGCTTAAACCTCTAAGCCAACATTTCAGTCCGTAGTCCGTAAAGAGTCCATTTGCGTTAAGAAAATAGTGACGTATCGATCAAGCCATGCTCCCCGACTAGTCTAGTTCCAAGAAGTTATTTTTTCGTCCGAAAGCTTGGAACCTAATTGGTCTGGGTGAGGGCCACTATTTTCTTAGTGCGAATAAACTTTATTACGTATTTAACTAATGTAACTGACATCTTTCAAGTACTCATAAGCACGATGTAAAAGAGGGACGTGTTTACGTTATACGTGGCAATCACTTTCTAAGATATTGTTATCAACGGAATAAAGTATATTTTTGAGGCCTCTAAATTAAGTTCTCCTCAATTTTATGTCATGAAGTAGTGACACAGAAGAGTCTACTTGTTTACACATTAAACAAGTCTTATTTTAAAAAGTACATTTTTCAATTTTAATAGACAAACCACAACAGCTAATCAGGGTTTTGAATAAAATGTTGTGTCCTCCTGAGTGTTTTAGTATTACACAAAAACTTTGTGCACCTTACACCCCTTACCATCTGCTGTCATCAATTTTTTTTATTTTCTTTGGTACTGTGATAAAGAATTGCATTTGTTTGTGCAAATAAATTCAATGCCGTACTACCAACATTTTATTATTTATTAGCACCTTATCCTAAAAAGAGTGCAATATTTTTGCACTTTATTACGTCCTATAAGGTAAAGCAAACTTCATCGATAAAAGTCCAATTTTTCAGTTACTATGTTAACACACCAACTCTAGGTAAATGGCTTTTAGCACTAGTGATAAACCCAAAATCGATTAAGAAAAGTAACTAAACAAAAAAACACTAAATTTTAATTGGGAATTCATTGGGAACTTCTGTATTGAAAAAGACTTTCAAATCTTGAAACCATGACTTTTATTTTTAATAGAACCAAAAAAACTTCGTCTTGTAAAATGTACCCAATGGTAGATAGGACTAATAAGCACTTTATGTTCTCACGTGCATTATGCCACGAGTTGATTGACAGAAATTACTCCATAAATTAAGATAAAAAGTACCCATAGAAAATATAATAATAAAAATAAGGCTGAGGCTTTAGGATAAGGTATCATAAGTATAAGGTATAGGCACCTGGTACCCTTTTCTTTTTCTTTCTGTTCGATTACATGGTTGTCGATTCAGTTTTATGTGTAAAGGAACTTCGTTCTTGTCAGGAGTCATGACAAGAACGAAGTTGTGCGAAGAACGAAAGGAGTGTCCCGACAGCCCACATGTATCTTCAAGTCTAGTTTTCTTCTTATATAACATATAGCTTTACATAGTATAAAATGAAGTGGTTTTTTGTACGCTTTGATCTTTCGAACTAAGCAACGGATTTTAATACGATTTAAATTAATAGAGAAAGTGATTCAAGAGGGGGGTTTTTGTGTATTATACATGCATATCGTAGTAGATTTATGATATAAAGTAAAAAAACATTTTTTTTTGTGCCCTTAGATTGCGATGGCATTAAAGTCGTAGTGGTATAAGCGTGGCAGCGTGGTGACCCACAACACTCGGTGTGCTCACCGAGTGTTGTGGGTTCAATACCCACATTGGACGACACTATGTGTGACACAAATTTCTGGGTGTTCTTTGTGTCCATTTCATGTATATTTGTAAAGTACCCCGCGACACAGGACATATTCCTAATGTTGTCTTCAAAAAAAAATCCTGCCTAACCTAACGAGATAGATCAAAATAATGTGCCGAATAGTATATCTTAAAAAACCTACAAGAAAGCCCTCGACGGTTTATGTCTATCTCCAAAGGATAACCCTCAGTAACCATTTTTATCTATTACATATTACAAAAATAGTAAGTTATTTACGGAGCTATTTTGAACAATACAGTATATCCCTTATCCAAATCCGTATTAATCCTAAATACTTTAGGTACGTTGTGCATTTAATGGTGATCAAAATTGCTCGTTACAACATATCACTAAAGTGAATAAATTAGTAGATTTTATAATATAATAATAGGTTTAAAATGCAGGCAAAGCAGACGTCGCTGGCAGCGGCCGCCAGGAGCGCAGCGGGCCTTTAAATATTGCATATAAAGGTGTCCTGTAGTATAGCCTAATAATAGTAATAGTATAAGTAATTACTACACATTGACACCACAGTAGTAGTATGTATATTGCACCCGTGCGAAGTCGGGGTGGAACACTAGTATATTATAACGTCATATAACATTTAAAATTTGTTACAAGAACTTCTGTAACGTGATACAGATTTTGAAATAATAACTATGTAGAAAGTAAAATCAGCAGTTTTAAGAACCAAGTATTAGTAAGAAGTAATGTGTGTTTAGTATTAATTTAGTAGAATCGGAACATCACTATTGTTTTTGTTGGCAGGTTGGTTGCATTTGTTTTTTATTCGCGACTTCGCGTTCTATTTTTGTGTGTGACGGTTCCGTTCGTCAGTGACGGGTTTTATTTTGCAAATACTTTTGATGATTTTCGTTTAGACCATCGAAATAGTAGCAGACCAGCTCCTGATTGTTGTAAATCATCAAAATGCAGAACGGAGAGGGCGCGCCGACAGCCGCGGAAAACAGTAAGTTTCATATTTGTTTATAAAAAAATAATGGAATAACAATCATTATTCCACTGTTTTATTTACTATTTTAGGGAAAATTCTAGTAGTGTAGCATGGAATTATGTATTCAATTATTGTATGGTAAGAAACCGCGTGCATTTCGAAATACCCGCATTAAATCAATGATGAAAACTGCGGAGTTTCATCGCGGCCTTTTATAAAAAATAAATGCATTTGTGCAGTCGTATTGCAGTTGTAATTTTCCTTGCGTTTGTGTTTCGTGCCTGAATTATTGCTATTTGGGTTGTTTCCTCCGATTCTAATAATTAATACTGTGGGTAGCTTAATTGGAGTGTGAAACATGACTCACATTCTTCGGTTCTGCCCACCTCTTTTGTAAAAATGCAGCTGATTTAATACTGGTTGAGGTAATCGTATTGCGGCTTTTAGATTAAATCAATGAGAGATTTCACGAAAGTCTAAATTGTCTATGTTGCAGGAATTTAATTTAAAAAAGTTATTAAATTTTTATTTTCTACAAAGTCAATGAGGTCATTATTTTTCTTATTTGAATTGAATCATCACTTTGAAGGTCTTGATTACCTCATCTATCTGTATAGATATATTTGCAAAGCCATGACAAAAAATACTTAAAAAAAGTTATCACCTACCTACGTTTGTGTTAGTTTTCTAAATGTAATTTGAATTTAGGGGTTGTTTATTTGTTTGTGTTTTCAGATTATGCAGTAGATGTTTATATTATTATTATGCCAGTATTATTTATAAATGTTTTGTTTATGTCAAATTTTAAGCCTAATAGAACATTTATTACATAAAAAATTTTGTAACAGTAACACTTAATGTTCCTAGTTCCTACTATCATAAGTAATATTCTTTTTATAATAACTATGGACACCTTGATTCTCGGGGTGGTCCAAATGTTTGTATGATCTGCAAATATTTGTTTCGGAGTTCGGGTGTTTTCCATGTATAAAATGTATGTATTTACAAAAAAATATATATATAAGTATTCTATCAATTAATCTAGCTTTTATAGCACCAGGTCTGCTTATTTTGAAACTAGATGGCATTGTTTATTGTGAATTGTAGATTATGCACAATACACAATTATTTGTTCATGGTGGAAAATAAAACTTTTAGAACACCAGATGTGGTGAAACATAGATATATTTTTATAGATATAGATGTATCTCTCATAGAGCGGGTCATCTTATTTCTCCATTCTAAAGCAGAATTTGTTAAAATAATATTAAAATGAAGAATAAAAGTTATTAGAAGTTATAAGGAATTAGTATTAAACAGTAAAAATAAACATATTCCTTTAACATAAAGTTGGTTAAAGCAGGTGTTGTTGATGAATAATAGGATTATTTTTTCAAACTATAACATTTAAACTATAGGGATTGGTGACATAGTGTTGAGTTTACTGACACCGTCTCACCAACCTTATATAAAAATGTATGTAAAAATAAAGGAGAAGAGAACATATGTAAAGGCAATTATGCATTTATTATATTATAAACATAGTTTGTGATGTAAAAAAAAAACAAAAATATGCCTAGTTTCATTTACACAAATTGGAAAACTTAACAAAATTTCTTGTTTAAATTTTGAGGTCTGCAAAACAATAAGGTTTGAATATTTTTTGCTGAGTGGTTCAAGTAATTTCTGCATTTATAATATTTTATTTAGTGAAAAACAAAATGTATTATGAGTAAACGTAAAAGCCTGTGCCATGTTTGTTATGTGAAGTACTCAATATGTACTCAGGTGTTGAATTACCTATAGTAGGGTATTGTTCATATGGGAAACATACTTAAGTTTTATTTTTGGGGTAATGTGTCAGAATGTGTAATAAGTGACATTACATCATATATAAAGTATGTTTAAAAAAAAAAAATGTCGATTTAGATGTGGTCGTCCTTGAATATGGTTTTTCGTGAAGGTGACAAAACTGATTGCTGTTATAAAACAAATAGTGACCAGACAGATAAACACTGAAATTGTAATAAAAAAAAGAAGCTTTTATCAAGAAATACTAAATGTCTGTTAACTGACTGCAGCATCAGTACACACTACTAATAATAATATTCTACCACATTTACACAACGCCATCTAGTCCAAAACTAAGCAGAGCTTGAACTATGGGTACCAGAAAACTGATATAAAAACATACTTAAATACTTTTTGTAAAAACACACATATTATTCACAGACACATCCAGACTATATTAAACAAGAAATGTTCAGGCACACTAGTGTTTGACTTTGCTTGAATCAAACCCGCGACCTTTGGCGGCGCGGCAGTCCGTTACACAAACCACTAGTCTCACAATCCACTCTCAGAGCCAAACCAAACGCAAAGAAAAACAAGGTTTTCCAATTATTTGAATAGGAACCTTAGAACGAGTTTGTGTCGTCATTTAGCCCGATTATTGTGAATTTTAGCCATATAGGGTCGCTCCGAAACCAAAAAAAGTCACCAAATTTAGTCAAAAAATACCTGAAACTCAATTTCAGCGCCATCTACTAGGTCGAACTGTGAATCTAAGATTTCCAACGAACCATTAATCATCAATTTTCGTATCCATTGTAGAGTAGTTAATCCTATTATTATAAATACATACAATGATAGTACAATGTCTGTGGGGTTTTAATAGTTAACCTAATTCTATTGTAAATTGTATGTGTAGGTAGTTGCAAAAAGGACCTTCATTAGCATGAAATTTTTAAGTTTAGGCTGTGTTATCAGACCATTTTTTCCAAGTCTTGTATTATAGTTTTGCTCTCATTTACCTGCCAAATTCCAGTGTCCTATTGCTTAGCCGCAAAGTGAATGACCGAGGGGTAGGAATTATCGTACTCAATAAATGCTATCAATTGGTACATTTTAGAATCACTTGTTCCCACAACCCATAAAGTAGGCACGGGCGACTCAAATGAATATGTCTACAATTTAATGTTAGCTTAATGCAATGACTGACCATCAATATTCACTGTAAAGTTTAGCGAGCACAAGCACCAGAGAAGGCCAGTAAAATTACTATTGAAAGCTATTGTAATGTTATTGTTTGGTAATTCCACCAAGTAACACACAAATCATAAACAAACATTGACCTTGGTATTACAGCGCGGCGACGCTACAAATGGATTTTAGAATCTCATAACTCAAGAAAAGTAGTAGTTCCCTTTGCGCGGAGAATCTGGTTATTATAATACTTACACTAAAATGTATTTCTAAACATTCACATACATAGGTAGAAAATCTCTGAACTATTTGTCACCATCAGGTCGACGTGTGCTTGCAAGAATGAAATTTTATTAAGTGATTTTCATGCTCACGTTACTCGTGTGTGACTAGAGATACGTATTTCGTTTGTTGCAACACTTGTCTCAATGATATGGTGGGTATAAAATCTGTACAATATAATGTAGATATAATCGCCTATATTCTTTATTACAGTTTGTAACAAAATAACGCCCTCGAATGCATACTCCTTTAACATTTATGGACTGAAATGATGCGTCAATTTTATGCCATCTGCATTCAAAGTAGTACCTGTATTATGTTTACTATGTTCGCATTGAAGCAAAGGTGTTATAGGATAAGTTTTGGCTTGTATGTGGTTAGCATTTGAGTGAACTGTCCATGTTAAATGATGTGCCATATTTCCTAGTAACTATCTAAGATTTCTTTGATGTACATTAATATGCTATCGATTTTCTTGAAAACCAAGAAGCTAATTTCTGACTGTAGTGTACATATGTAAGATCGAAACTCCAAACTGAAAAATACAGGTTAAAAGAGGAATTTTATTCCCCGCAAAGCAGGTAGGTAAGTGAAATTGGTAACATGTTTAACTCGCCGAGAAACAGCTGGTTATGAATATATCGAATGCACTGGTATTCTGCCTGGCAGAGAAGCGGGGAGACCTATGCAAGCTTGCAACACCCGGGCTGTTGCTAACTTTGTGATAACCAATTTAAGATAATATTCATGATTCGTCAAATATTACTATAAGTATTTATGGTTTTGTTACAAATTACTACACACAAAACATACATTGCTATTACAGATTGCTAAACCGGAGGTCGTGGGTTCGATTCCCACCCAGGACAAATATTGTGTGATGAGCACGGTCATTTGTTCTGTGTGTGGGTGTAATTTATTTATAATATGTATCTATTTATAAATATATAAGTATCTTTATCAGCAGTCTGGTAACCATAGTACAGGCTCTGCCTAGTTTGGGAACAGACGTCCGTGTGTGAGATTATTAGTTAGGTGTATTTTCGATCTTCGGTTGGATACTACTTAGACTAACTACTTACTCCACTAAAAGGACAAAATAAAAGTTTCTCCTCGTTAAAAGTATACCTACTCGCCTTTCAGGAGTTCTAAATAACTGGTAACTTTAACATACTCGTATAACAAAATCTGCTGTCTGGTGAAGTTACCGTAAACGACTATTCTTCTATTTAAATTGTCTTGAGCCTTTTTATTTAGATTAACTATTATTTACTGCGTGCTTGAATATAATTATATTAGGTGCTTTCGATTGCCTTGCATTCTAATTACATTGGGCGTACAAAGGAATGCACTATAGTTGATCGACGCGCGTCTTCCTCGCAAGATTATTTATCGTAGTTAATTACTAGAAATCGAGCCTTTAGTGTATTTATTTCTAGAATAATATTCATGCGCTCATTACGGTAGATAAAAGTAGACAATTCTAAAAAAACTATAAATGAAGAATAATATGAAGGAACGTGGATAATTAAATTATTAAGTCTGTAAAACAGACCTGGCTGCTAGAAAACTCGTCCTAGAAAAAAATATCGGTTATTGCGTACCGCGTACAATAGTAGTAGTAATAGCAAACTATTTAACGGTCATTTACCTTGCCTTGTGCGTTAGTTTTACAAATATTACTCCACATCGATTTATAATATAAACTTATTTGATAAATATTACTGAAACTTTTATTCAGTTACCCTTTGTCACGTGTTGTAAGGAATGCTCAACATTATACATAACTCAACAGGTGACTAAAAATAATAATATAAAACCTCAGAAAGTAGGTCACTATTAGTAGTTTTAGATTTTTATTTTTACACGCTTTATATACCGGTACCTTTCTATAAAAGTAGCGGAATCATTATATAATACTTATTTATGTTATAATTTGAACATTTATCAAGGACAGATGTTACAAAACTAAAAAAGACTAACTAAAAAATAAAAATCTTTAGCGGCAAATCGAACTAAAAAACTAAGACATTTTTTTATTTGCAAAGCGTGGGTGCTCTTTAATTACAACTCTACTCGTATAAATAGCTACCAATAAACTATTTGTAACAGTTTTTACTTTCACTGATTACTTTTTTTACTAAGCGTAGCGTCTTCAGTCCGTTGCCACCTCACTTTTCAGCTGTGTCGGTTGTAAGACAAGCTCCGTCTCACTCCACTCGGAACACTTCAGATTCATAGCGAACTTTCTCGATGATTTGTGGCCCATTTCGTAAATAATAATATATATAATAGAGGATTTGAATGTTATATTGAAATCTCGCTGCATTTTCAAATTTCGAGTACAAGGAGGGCATAAAATGCTAGAGTACGTGAATTAGTTCAAACTGTGGCTCGAATTAGCGTCCGATAGCAGCAGTAGCATACTAATGTCCGTTTAGATTTAGTTTTAAGATATACAGTAGCTATGTTGTATCTAAAATAATAGTAATAATACATTTTTTTTGCATTAGATTCGCAGACCAGCACATATAAAATCAGTATGTTACTACAACTATTTATCTACAATAGTCAGTAGTCTAGACGATCCTCATTCATTATAGAATTAAAAAATATATACCATTAATGCATATCTTTACACTGCAACAATGAGTGCCATATCGCAGTTGTGCGTTTAACGATAATAATTTGCGAATGAAACACATTCTTCATTATGATATTTCTATTTTCATTTGAAAACTTAATACTCTTTCTTTATACACTAAAGTAGCTTTTATAATATGTGACTATAAGGTCATTTCCAAATAATTTTCCAGCCAAGAAAGCGGTGCCCGAGGAAGTGACGAAACAATCATTCAGGCTGAAAGTATGGCGCCATTTGGAGACGAATGGGTTGGCGATGTTTCCACGCCCGGTCTACAACAGGATCCCAAACTTCAAAGGTGCCACCGAAGCCGCCGCTAAGCTGGCAGAGCTGGACATCTTCAAGGCTGCGAACACTATCAAAGTGAACCCTGATAAACCACAAGAGCCTGTCAGGTTAGTGATGATATATATTTTTTATACCATAACAAGATCGTTAAGATTATCTACTCTGAGAAAATCCAAGGCACAATATCTTTGGATTCTCCAAGTGTTCTAGTAGATTTATACTTTATAGTGGCTTCTGTGGACACACACATTAAGAATATGTAGCTAGATTATATAGCCAGACTGCAAATATAGAGGGCGAGATATATATGGTTGTTCCTTAGAGACTTTATAGAAACGGTACTGTAATGAGCTGATAACATACTCAGTCCAAACTTCAAGGTCTCAAGACGAGACTGCGACTATTTATTAAAGAAATAAAAAAATGAAATATTGATATGGTCACTATAAAATGTTGTTAGCTTACTAACAAGGTATCAATTCATGACAAAGTGGTTGGATAGCTGCTCCCTTATATGGGTATGGAACTGAATTGACGGACTTGGTTTTGATGGGAAAATATAATCAGATAGAGCATCATCAAATAAGTTTGTTCTGTTTAGCACTGTAGTTATAATGACGTTTAATCTCTTACAATCCCGCTTAACTGTTATGTATTTCTTAGTTGTATAGTATGTAGTCAATATTAGTTTATTTCAATAAAACAACATGGATACAAAAACGTCAAGATCGGTTCAAATGTTATTTATAAACTTAGACACAGATAATAAATAACACAACTGATAAAAAATAAAAGATGCAACATTGTTATGGAAAGTAAAACTTTATAATAATTGCCTTTTAACGCTGATAGATAACATAAGTTTGGCAAACAAATCTTAGTTCCTCATTAGGTATATTTTAGGTATTGGTAATGATTGCTGTGTTTTTCTTATTTTACTTTAACTTAAATTACACCGCAGTGTTTTCTTTAATTTCTATCATAAATTATTTTTAGTAGTCGTAGTTATTGATATAAATACATTTAAGATTGAATAATTATTAAATTGAATTGTCTAATATACTGTTCATATTATTGTTTGCTCATTAATTAACTGATAGCCGAATGCATAGAAGTAACAAAAGATAACTTTTGGACATACGTCCATAATTGGATCATCATACTATATACTTTTATTTAAGAACTGAATTTTATTTTTAATGAAAGAACTCTTAAAAATACTGTTCAGTGTTTGAATAGAACACGCACAATGGTTATTTCATTTACCTTTTCTTATCTGATTCGCCACATTTTATAACTATTTGTCAAAAATATACGGCTTTACTTACGTGTGTATTTTGCGAAGCTACCTGTCCTACAGTGTGACGCCTGAACCCCGTCGCGGGCTACTGCTCTGTAACATCAGGGGATATAACCGCAAACCGCGGCTTAAACGCCAGTAACAGCGAAATTAGACTTTTCGTTTAAGTGTCTCGGCTTTGAAATAGTAACCCAGCATACAACTAAGGTAAACCTGCTTTGAACATAAACACTTGGCTCAACTGCACAGATGGCGCAGTGGTTTAAGCGGTCACCTCGCCGTTTCCTACTGCACTGAGTGTTGTGGGTTCATACCGACAAAACTTTATTTGATCCACAAATTGTTGCTCTGTGTCTGGGTGTTCTTTGTGTCGGTTTCATGTATGTTTGTAAAGGCCCCCGTGACAAAAGGATTTATACATAGTGCGGGCGTTGTCTTTCAATAAAAGAAAAGAAAAGAACTGAACGATTAACAATAATACATACCAGTAATGTCACCTACGTTTTTTTAAAAAGAATTCAGGTATGCAATTTTATTTAAAAAAAAGTTAGGTACGATATAATATATAATGTTCGTAGGTACATTGTACTTTCGAATATGCATTATTGTCTAAGGTAACATTCTAATCTATTCTAGGTTGTATATGCGATCTAACGGATAAATACTTAGTACCACATGTTTTATTTACAAATATATTTTTTATTTGATCGTTTACCTAAATTATTCAGCCGTTTTCAGGGTGGTAAGAATATAATAATATTCTTACCACCCTGAAAACGGCTGAATAATTTCATACGCCGTTGTGAAAGTAGTTACTCATCGTTTTACGCACCCGTGATCATCTAAATGGCTAGAATATAAAAAATAAATGAAAAACTTAAAAATATGTAATATAATTTCAATTATAACCAGCAAATTAATTTAAAAATGTTTAAAAATAATCATATGAATTAACTCTGACAATGTTTAAAACTTATGAAGATGATAACTTTTTATATGATGATATGATGCCATGGCACATATCGACTGTGAATTATACTAGGTTCACACATGTTCTTCTTTTCAATTCTTGTGATGCTTTTTCTTTGTATAATAGAGAGAGAAAAAGTATATAAGTATTCAATCAGTCAATCTATCTTTCATATATGAACATATATATACTATAGTATAGTAAGCTTTGCTTAGTTTCAAACTAGTACGACGTGTAGATGAGTAGACGTAGTAGACGGTGTGTATCAGATGTCCGTAAAATATTTTATATACATATTGATTACATTTTTAAATATACTAGAAAAAAACCTTTAAAAATATAACGTCTACATATTTAAAAAAAATAAAAACCCGGCTGCAAACAGCCAATTAAAAAGTAATGAACTAATTTTGCAATATCCTATTTTTTGTACTTTAAACTATAGCGTCTCACAATCGTCATGTAGGTTTTTTTTACGTCACCTATCTAAGAACACTTAGGTAAATAAAACGAATCTAGCGATATGTTAATTAATCCGTGCAGCGGTTTGGAAGAATATTACATACATACAAGATACGCGCGAAAAACATAACCCTTCCTTGGCAGTCGGGTAAAAATAGTAGACCACCAAGATCGGGTACAGGGAACACAAGACACCGGTGGTTAGGACTCTTCAGGAAACTTCTCAATATACGGGCCGTGCCAAGGAGCGTACGTAACTGCCTTCTGCATCAGAACCTAGATCCAGCCCTCTAACATGAGCCTCTTTATTATTATTACTTTTAGCGAGTGAGTAAGTTACCGGTGGCTCAAACCTCTTATATTTTGGGCGGAGTACTCAAAGGTTGGGACCGCATTTGTCTCTTGAGTTGCAGGTGTTCATGGTGGTCGATTACCATCAGGGGACACTTCTGCTTGTTTTCACCTTATTACGCCATAAGAAAATTAGACTTCTCAAAATTTACTCAAATGAGTGTGTAATTCTTTCATTATACTATTTAGGCGTACGATGAGACACCTCGAGGCGCTAATCTAAAATTAGCACAGTTTATACGACTTCTGGAATGTGTCCTGTATACGCTCAAACTCTAAAACGACACGAGATAGAAGGTATTTGCGATTTTAAACGGTATATCAATCAAGTAGCGGCGCGGAACGTAAAAATTGTACTAGAAGATGATACAAGAACTGCAAAATCTAATTTAGGTTGTACTCTGTTCAGTGTCTCGACAGCGGCTTCTGATATTGCCGTTGAGCATAGATGAACTCTTGAACTACCTATATTTTAAGTTCAGAATCTGGCAAAACGATGTTCTGATAGTATACACTAAAACATAATTTCATGTTCAATTCTATATTTTTTTAATTTTATTTTAAGCTACTTGATTTACTTACTTTTTAAATAGGTATAATTTATTTAACGTTGGTATCCTTGACTTCATTGACAATCTTAATTCTTCTTTATAATAATAAATGGAACAATCAGTTTTCTTAAATTTTGTGCTATAGCTAAGTCGCGTAATACAGTTTTGTATTATAATTATACTCTTTCAAAAAGATTGAACACCTTAGAGACAACATTTAATGTACTGACATTTAAAGTTACAGTGTGCAACGCACTTTTGAATTTACAACATCAATAGAATTTTCAAAATACTGCATAAAATATAATATTTTAGACATCAGCATTTAATACCTAATGTAAAATTGATCGTCCAAAATTATTTGTATTAAAAAAAGAACTAAGTTGTCATGAAAAACAGATTCTAATTATTAAAATAAAAGGTGTTTTTTGAAGAAAGATTAAATACAAACCATTTTAGATTTTTCTAAAGAACACGGATGTACGTCGGTTTACTCATAATCCACGTATCTTTCGGTCGTCCGCTACAATTATGGCCAACCGTAATGCAGTGTGGGTACGTTGCATTACTGTTGTATGACTTCACGGTTAGTGCATTGTGAAAGTAGTTGCCTTGTCCACTACGAATTGCTGCTGCGTCTATCACAAATAAAAAAAAATGTGACGGCCAAATAATCGTTTCAATTTTATTCTACCATTAAAGTAGTAATTTTCTGTACGGTAATTCAGAACGAATAGTTTTTAAAACTAGTTTTTAAAACACATTGTTACTAACACTATATGGATGTAATAGTCCGAAATAAATAATTTAAATTTGAATTTGAAAAAAATTCAAATTGCATTGTTGAGATAGAAGAGAAGAGAAGTTTAACTGTATTTTTTTTAAGAGAAAGTAAATGTATTTAATATTAACGTCATTTAAATGGTGTTCTTTTTAAAATTAAAAGTTAACCTTCAAAACCGTCTACTCATCAACAGCCTTCAATAGTCCACTGCTGGACATAAGCCTCTCCTGAGAAAGGAGGTTTTGGCCTACTATATATACCGTATAAACCGTCTACTACCGTCTATCAACCTTCAAAAACTGAGAATTTAGAAAGAAATAAGTGATATGTAAGTAATGTGCGCCTTATTTAGGACGCCTTTGACCTTATAAGGTCCTTCCATAATTCCTTGATCATGACGTGCATCGCACCATAAACTAATTGTGATTGAACCGATGGTGGAATGAATTAACAAACTATATCATAATATATTAAAGATTTTTCTCGAACTTTACTTGACAGTATATAATAATGCGGCTTCTCTCGCGTTGTATATATCTTATCATATCAAAATTATACCCCTTAAAATAACTATATATATATAAACAATATATTATTAGGAGCGTAATTTCCTTAATTACCCGACCATACCCGACCCGCATAAACACTTCTGAACAAACAGGCAAACGGTGTCTAAACGTAATCTATAT